CCAGCAGGTAACGTCAGATATCTGGGATCGGACTGTTTACAAGGGTGTGTAGCGACAGGACGAGGGGAAATGGTTTTAAACTAGAGTGGGGTAGATTTAGTTTAGGTATCAGGAAGAAGTTATTTACTCTGAGGGTGGTGAAACACTGGCACAGGTTGCCCAGAGAGGTGGTGGAGGCTCCACCCCTGGAGACATTCAAGGTCAGGCCTGATGGGGCTCTGAGCAGCCTGATCTAGTTAAAAGTGTCCCTGCTCACTGCAGGGGGTTGGACTTGATGGCGTTTAAAGGTCCCTTCCTGCCCAACGCATTCTATGAGTCTGTATCAGTGCTCGGGTTCAGTTAAGAAACAGTATGAGGCAGAACTTCACCTCAGTCTCATTCAGACTATCGGCATTTCTGTGGTAACCAGAGCTGGAAAGCAGCGCAATGCACCCAGAGACCTGGGCACACGTCAGTAGAAAAAGGCCAGCTCCATCATGCTGTGGATAATCTAAACCCCTTGTCTGGCCAGCTGGATCCTTCTAGCGTTACTTTTGTCTCAGTTCACAAGAGCTGGCAATTTTGATCCTGATTTAAAAAAAAATAAACATAAAACTAAATGAAATCCTGCAAGTTTTATGCAGAATATTCATGTTTGACTTTAGCATAAATAAACATTTTTAAAGAGCCAAAATAAAGAGCTTCCCACTTCTGCCTCGTATTGTATCTCTTGCCTTCTGAACATGCTGGGAGGCAATTACGGATCCTCCATGGACCACGAGTCAATGCACCATTTTTGTGCCAGCATCTAAAACCCCTCTGAAGTTAGTCTTTACCCTTTACTATTTATTTTTTCTAAGGAAGGCTGCTAATTGGAATTGGGCAAAGAACCCTGTATCACAGCTGTGGTATGACATCTCCTGTGTTTGTGTCAGTCTGAGTCAAAATACTGTAATATTTGTATATGTAACAGGAATGAACCTCTCATAATACATACATAGCTGTAGGTGAGATATGCAAATGGACATGGTCAGGAGATCAGGATGTGACCTAATGAAGTGTAAATCCCCAATATATTTGGAAAATATTTCCTCTTTAGTTGTGCAGTAGTGGTTTGGGAGAGAGTTAAACTGTTAACGAGATAAACCAGCTCTTGGTAAGAAGATGATGACATTTTCCATCTTCAAGCAGAGCTTCAATGAGAAGCCCAAGCAGATACAGAGAAGGTAGAGTGCGTTCTTTTAAGTCACTTGGAAATTACCAGATAAGACTTAAGAGGTTTCCCATGTTTCACATGTTCTTTCAACGGAAACAGTTATATATAAATAGCTTCAGAATTTTAAGTTTCTCCTCTCATCATTTAAGATACAAACAGCACCACCAACTCACAAGTCACACTTCCTGCTAACATTCTATATTCCACGAGGTTTTGGGGGGGAAGTACTAAATGAGTTTTGGTGGGTTTTCTTCCTTCTTTAAGCGCATTTTATTTTGATGTTCAGTATAATTTTGGGCATAGTCGGTGATTCTTATCATGATAACATTTCATGCCTTGGGTTGGGCCATTCAGGACTAACATGGCAAACAGAGGCTTGCACAGAACCTGCCCACAGAAGGAGGAGCAGCGTGAGCTAAACACGGCTGCTGCAATGAGCCATCGACCTCCACAGACCTCCTGAAAACAACTTGCAGCCATTCGATTTGAAGTGAAAAGAAGCAGCAGAATGTGTTTAAAAATTGCATGTGAAGTTGTCAGTACAATGTTCTGGAGTTGGGTAAGCTTCTCTTTAAAACTGCGACATGCATGAATGCAGCATTTTTTTACTGATTAGTTATGTTCCACATCAGTTTCCTGTAACGCGTGACAGAATGGAGCCCAATTCCAGTCTGACAGGGTGGTTTCCATATCGCCAAACATCAGTGACCTCATGACTCAGTAAGAAACTGGGCAACAGAAATTCAGTGAAGCTATCGGGTTGGTGAAATTTTCTATTAAATTTAGTTCATCATACCTAAAAGTGAGAAAACAGATGGCACCAAAGTCAGCTGCCATGTAACCAGACCTGATTCCCATTCCGCAAGGGATGCTCTATCTATATTCAGCAAAGATGAATTTGCAAAACAAAGTGACTATTGTGGAGGTAAAGCTCTCGTGCCACGCTGAGTTTGCACAAAAGCCAGGCGGGGAGTCTGTATTCATTCATTTGGTGTCACGGGAGAAGCATAAAAGAGCGAGCCAGCATGGGGCAGCTGCTCCGAAGGGAGTAGGTTCAGGCCCTGTTGCATCCCTGCGCCAGAGAAATTGGGGCACTGGCTTTGAAATGCTCAGGTCCTGCTGGTGCTGGTACCACTTCATGTAGGGGAGGAACAGATGCCAGTACCCAGTAAGAGAAGTTGTCCCAAGAGCTGCCCGAGTGGCGCGGTGAAGCCATCAGGCAGCAGGGCTCGGGGGATGCAGCTCGGGATGCAGCCATAGTGCAGATGCTTGAGTAAGTGTACTCTCCGCATCCTCAAGATTCCTTCCTCAAGATTCCTTCCATGTGAACACAGAAGCCGAAAGCCAGGCCCTCTGACCTCCTGTGCAGGAGGCTGCTTTCACAAGAAAGCAAAAACAGGTAAACAGGCCAGAGGAATCCCCGCCAGTGAGGACATGGCAGCTCAACCTGACAGACAAGGATGTTTAAACCGTGACAGTTTTTACTGAGTTGAGGTTTGACGTCCACTCTCTGGTAACTAAAAGATATGGAAAATAAGAAGCCCCCAAATGAAAAATTACTGCTAACTAAACTGTGTTTAGTTAATTACCTGTAGTGCTCTCAAGAGGTGCTCATAGCCTGGGCACTCAGGTGAAGGTGTGGGCTTAGCCTGAGAAAGACCGTTGGCCAGGACAGGGAACTGCTTGAGAGAGTCCACCGCAGAGCCACAAAGATGATGGAGGGAGTGGAACATCTCCCTTATGAAGAAAGGCTGAAGGAGCTGGGTCTCTTTAGCTTGGAGAAGAGGAGGCTGAGAGGTGACCTCATAAATGTTTATAAATATGTCAAGAGGGAGTGTCAGGAGGACGGAGCCAGGCTCTT